GAGCGTTGCCTTCCAGCCCTCCATTCCCATGTCACTGTTGATGGACATGTGTCACTGGTGGTGCGACAATCTCCTGCAGTCTTTCTGGTGGGGCAGTAGCTGAGAAGTTCAGTTTAAACTCTCTTAATGAGGGTCATTTATTAAGAGTATGTGCTTCAATATCCATGAACAGTCATCTGCATTGGCTGCATTGTGAGATCCTCTAAATTTACGTAAGCAAACATGAGATCAGGATGCAGGATGAGTATTTTTGGTCTTCAGATCATTTTTTAAAGGTATCCATGAGCTGTTCCTATTCCACTGCAGCCTATTACTTGTGACATGGCAGGGAGTTGTAAGGGCATTGTGAAGGGCAAGGGTGATGTGGACATGAAGGTAAAACTTCTCCAGCTTTTGGGAATACCAGTTGGGTGAGCAACTGTCCCCACTCAGTCTGCAGAAAGAGGAGAGAATTACTAGTCATATAACAGAAGATGAGAGCCTGACTTTGCAAATGTCTGTGGAGAAGAGAGGTAAATGACAAAGCAAGTGTGTCCTCCTGGCATTAGAAGTCATGAGACATCTCTGTTTTGTCTCCTAGATGTCCAACGCAATGAGCCAATTGATTGGTTTGAAGGAAAAAGGTTTGCCTCGCATAGCACGGCTCCTCCAGTCCAACAGCTCTGAAGTTGTCCGGTCTGGGGCTTCTTTGCTGAGCAATATGTCCCGGCATCCTGTTCTTCACAAAACTATGGGTAAGTAACTTCCATCACAGTGGATTCCAGAACAATGTCTAGTTTCTAACTCTCTAATATCTGACCATCTCACTTTGTAAATCCCATAGTAGGACTTAGCCAAGCTCCAAAATTGGGCAAAGCAGTGTCATTTCTTCTGGCCAGAAGGACAATTACAGGTGATATCCGCAGGATTAATTAACAAAATGTGTGCTATCTCAAAGTCTCTACAAGCATGTGGTATGCTTTATAGACAATGACAAATCTGCAGAATCATGGGGATGATAGTGTTTTGGGAACTGAGTTGGACTTGATTACCCATGACCAATATCATTGCCCTTCCAGAGGCCTGCAGCACCCATTTTGTCTCTGAAAATCAAGTGATGACTATTATGCTATTACTGCCCAACATTGTTAGTGCCTCCTTCCAGAGATAACACTGCATTCTTGCATTGAATAGTGCTAACACAAATATCATTCACTTGTGCTAGGTTTTATTTAAATGTTGATTGGAACATTCCACCTCTTTAGCTCACCAGGTGCTCCCAGATGTATCACGTCTCCTGTCATTCCAGTCTGCAAATACCAACAGCTATGGCGAGATCATGACATCAGCTTGTTACACTCTGAGGAACCTCATCATGTCCAACCCACACCTGGGAAAGTCTTACTTGACAAGCAACATGCTAAATAATGTAGTAAGCCTGTGCCGAAATGGGTGAGTTTGGGGTAGAAGGCATGGAGAGGGTCATGTGCAGACATTTTTGAGCCAATACACTCTGTGCAAAGCCAGCTTAACGCCAGAGCCTTCCCAACACCCTTCAGAGCCATAGTAAAGCATTATTCTTTCCCCGTGCTTGTAAACTGAGAGCCAAAGAAATTCAAGCATGTTGGTAGACAGAAATCCTCAGTGCTGGTTTCTTGGAAACAGGCATGAGCCATCCAGGGTGGGATTTGTAAAGGGGTCTCAGGAAATTTGATGGTTGAATTTTAAGAAATTCTGAAAAAAACTGAAGCACCAACATCTTAAACACTTTCGAAAATTCCATCCCTCAAAACAGGGGATGTCAGTATGCAGCCTGACTGCCTAGCACCTGGGCTTCCCACTTACAGCTTCTTGCAAACCGCATCATGAAGGTCGGCTCTGAGATGCAAGCACCACTGATATACTGGGATTGTGCTTAGCTTTAATGTTCACATTTGTTCATCTTTCTGTTGAAACATCCACCTCAAGTGGCAAAGATGCAGCTGTGATGGTACATATATATATATGTATGTATGTATGTATGTATGTATGTATGTATGTATGCATTATAAGTACCTCCCCCGGTCTACTCACATATATTTTACAGCAACTGAGCAATCTCAACATATTTTACCACTTTTTCTTTTAGGACTTGGTTTGAGTTTTGGTGGTAGTAATTCTGTCCCGCTTGTCATCCATAGTCCCTACAGGCCTGTGCAAGAGCTTGTCAACCCTTGCCAAGCTATATGTTCATTTCTGACCAAACTGGTGTTAAACTTACATGATCTTTGACCATGTATTCTCCTTCCTAGACTTTCATCTCTCCTACCATCTGTCTTTGTTTTAAAATATCTTATACAAGTAACCTATTGTTTTCTGTTGTGAAAAGACATTTGCATGCCTTCTCCATCATCCTTTGATAAACCACTTACAATCTACCACTTGTTTCATGGCATCAGAGAAACTCTCAGTCATTAGAAGTGGCCTCCTTGTTTAGTTTGGACCTCAGCCAATGAACATTGGTCAGCTGCTGCTTTTATATGTTTCCACTCTACAACAAGCCCAATTAACACGAAACCCAGCCCTCTTCTAAGTCTTCGTTGTTTTGAATGGTATTCAATTCTGCCTAAAGTCCCGCTTTGGATCCCTCAGACCGGTCGTCAGCTAATTTACTACTTCAGCGAAGTGTTGCTCAACTGGGGTTGTACGTACCTTAATTGTCTTGACTGCTTGGTGTGATGAGCTTTGTTTGCAATGACTCACTAAACTGCGAGGAGTTACTAAACTCTGGAGATGTCTTCAGTGTGTTCCTCCTGTCTGTAGCACAAATTCCTTCTGAGAAACTCCCCAGTTCTTACAACGTCCAAAACTTGAATTGTTCCATTATTTACTTCTGTCCGCAAAGATTTTTATGCTGTTCAATTCTTAGGAAAAAATTACAACAATTTATGCCCAGAACTAGTTTTACTTCTTCAAGCCATATAATTTCAGACTGTTTCCATAGAGCAGGTGTGAAAGAGATCACCCCTCTAGTGAATTGGACACTTGCTAGTTCACAAGTTAGCTAACTTCTCCCACTTCCCCGTGAAGATAAACAAGAAATTTTAGGGTGGGATTTGTACAGTCCTACATCAGAAAGAGCCTCACCCACTCCCTGATGGTAATACCTCGATCCAAGAGGCTGTTGCCTAGGCTGGATGCAGACCCCGTGCTGCCCACACTGATGCTGAATGTGGTGAGGTCCCATGCTATCAACCTCCTCCATCCCAGCACCACAGACAGCATGAATAGAGAACAGAGGAGGTCTCAGTGGTGACCAAATCTCCATGGGGAACACCATGCCATGTTGCACCTTGTTGGTATTTTGCAGAGTTTTGTCTGTTAATCTGACTCAGTTTCTCTGTGGACATACGTCCCTCACCTCCAGCACTGGTGTTGGTTTGGTTGGTGTGTCCGCATAGTGTCTCCCTGGCACATGTTTCTTCTGCCACCCAACAAATCTTTACCTGTATTTCTGAACTGGTCTCTCATTGCATTTGAAGCTGTGAATCGTTAGGCTAACATGCTCAGACGATTTTGTATTCGTATTTTAGAAAGAGCCTCCAGCTTACGGACAAGTTGTGGATCTTTTCCTTTCCCATGTTCTCCTCAAAGGCCAACCAGCACTCCTCAAAGCTGAGGTTGCTTTTTCTTGATGTTTCTTGTAGCTGTATTCAGAGCCAAAGGCATGAACAGTTCGGCAGTTTATCTGATAGCTGTGGTTTCTTCTCTTTCCTGGAGTATCCCAATTAAACAATCGTCTCCGTCGCATGCATATATCCTCATCCGTGACACGGGCTTCACAGTGATGATGGTGTTCGTTCATTCTTTGTTATTTTTAATCCATGTTGCCAAAATATTGAATATTACATTCTTTTTTTGTTGGTGTTTCTGAAAATCAACCAGCTGTTACTGATTTATTGTGATGTCTGATGTCCTTTTCATCTTTCTTATCCAACTGCCTGAAAAATGTTCTTCAGCTCATTTTCAAGTGACATTATTTCACTAGTAAAATTATAATTTTTCACAATAATTCTACTGGCTGCACTAAAAGCTTTTCTCCACAATCTCTGTCTGTACTTTAGAACATCGGATTTTCAGTTCATCTCACAATCCCTTTATTGCTGTTTTGTTTCAGTTTCTCTTTGTTCCTTCAATTTTCACACCTTTTCTATGGTACAATTTAATTTTGCAGTTTAATTCTACCATAACATTTTACCAAAATTAATCTTTCAAGAAACTCAGGTCTTTCCTTGATTCTTTTCTGTGGAAGAAAGTTCTTCTCATCCACACATTTCCAGTTTCACATTTCTTCCAGAGATTGCACCTTGATATCAGTTTTATATACTCATGACAACCTGAAGAACTCCTCCTTTCAGGAATTCCTTGGCATATCCTGTGACATGCATAAATTTCTTGATATTTTTGTCTTTTGAGGAAAAATTATTTTCCTCATAATAAGATACGCATGTACAAAATCCTTGTCTTTTTTGCTGCCCTCATTCTTTCTCCCTTGCCCCACCACCTCCTTCTGATTAGGTTCTTGTTTGTGTTTTGCTGAGTCAATAGGTTTTTGGATGACTGCTGCCACTGCCACCAGTGGATATCTTCCTTGTTGTCTTTCCACAAATATTTATGAATAATTCAAACAGAATTAAAAAACAGACTGTCCTTAAAATCAACTTTGATTTTCAGTGAACTTTTTTTTAAGAAATTTTTTCCCAGATCAGCTGTCCTTGATATTCTGCTCCACGTTATACACTGCTATAGTCACGCACTATTTCCAGCACTTTTGTTTAGGATATGCTACTTTACATATTGAAGTTGTCATCACAGCTCCATCAGTTCATGCTTAAATTTTTTATACCTAAATAGTAGCAGTAGATGCTGTATGAAAAAGAGTCAGTATCAATCCTTCAAAGGCTCAGATATCAGATGCTGCTAATATTGGTTGGAAAAGGGAAAACCTTTTGAGGTGTGCTCTGAAGACATAGTGGCAAAAAGCATGTATTTGGCATCATTAGAAGCATATTACAAAAAAAAAAAAAAAATTATTCTAGCTTAGAAAGAGAGAAACAACATGAAACAACATATCCTTGAAAGGTAGTGTCCAGGTCAAATACCTTTGTGTTTATTGTTTTTTCAGTCACAAACAATATTTTGGCCACAGATTTTTTTAAAACATAGTCATTCTTGTGACAGGGCATAGGATGGTTATAACCAGAGAAGTGATTTTGCAGTAAAACCTAGCTCTTCTCTCCCAAAACATTGCTCGAGAATTTCTGGTTGTCTGCAGCTCCCCCGGTCCTCCACACAATACCAACGTGTGTGAGCTGCACTATCTCTTCGGAGTTTAACTTCCTAATTTCGGTGGTTAGAGAAATGCCCCGAAATCTACTCAGTGTGGTCACATTCCTGTCCTTCACACTCAGAGTATGGTGCTTGCAGGTCCCAGGTTCCTGATGACCACGGTCAGTCCCATTTCTCATAGTCGGATGAGGACGATTTTGAGGACGCAATGTTTTGTGAAGCTGTATCATGCAGGGAGGGTCCTGAGTCTGGTCTCATACCTCTCCATCACCCTGGCTGAGACAGGCTGGGGCTGTTGCACAGAACCCAGATCAGGAGTCTCCCACAGACAGGACGAGGTCCAGGAGATCAGGAGCAGCGATAAGAACCAGCAAGGAGGTTTATATCTAGGTTGTTGTATGAAATGTTCCAAAATTATAAAAGGTACTGCTATGACTCACGGTTTCGGAGCTGTTACGTGAGCAAGTATCTATTAACTTGTGCTGAGTAAGGACTTATGGTTGCAGATGTTGTTATTACAAATGCTCCCATCTCCTTCGTCCTCAGCAGGCAGCGCCAGCCCGTTCCTCTGCTGCCCTCCCGAGAGACTCGCCCACACTGTCCCCACAGACTCGAGGGAAGGGTTGGCACCATTTCCCTTCTCTTTCAGTCTCCAAATTTCACACTCCAGAAACACTCCTTCAGCTCAATTTAATGCTCATTTTTCCACTCAGATCCTCCCATCTTTTTCATTTGTCCCGTTGTGGTCCCAGGGGCTGTTGTCACGTAACATTGCTGGGAGACCACGGAGGGCTTTATTGATGGCCCCCCGCCAAGTCTAGCCAGCCTCCCAGCTGGAGGTGGGCTTAGTCAAAGGCTGTCGGTAAGGCACGTGGGCTGCTGCTCTGCGGCCTGCCAAAATTCACCAACATTGCTTTCATCTTCCCAGCTCCTGTCCAAAAGCGGCCGAAGCTGCTCGCCTGCTCCTGACAGATCTTTGGTCGAA